ACACAATAAAAAGGATTGCTCAAATGGTTTCCCCAAGCAACTCAACGTCTTGGTCACCAAAAAGGGAAGTGACTGGCAATTGCTAAGATTGGATCTCACCTTAAAATCTTTATTGACCTGCAGTTTTCACAATTTATATTTTCTTATAATATCTAAGAAGAAATGAAATCTTAACTTCAAATCTGTGCCTCATCCCTCATTCCCTTGCAGTCTTACGCAGGGGTATATGTCAGCATGAGCTTTCAGCATTTCTTGGGATGCTTTTTCAGTGTTTATGCTTGTACAGTGACTTCTCCTTTGAGACTAAAATGTTAGAGGATAAATGAGCAGTGCTTCATGGAAAGTAGGTTCAGAAAGTGATAAAAATGTGTCTTGTGTCATAACCAGGAAGTTAAGTGGGAAACAATTCAGAAATCGATGTGGGATAAGGGGAGGACTTTGTAGTGTGGGTCAAAGAACACTGATTGCCACCTCAGGAGATCTAGTCCTGGCTGTGATGCTGGTAGTAGACATCAGAGCCCCCATTCTCTTACATCTAAGGAGAGTTAGTTGGATTAAATGATATCCTATATCTCCACCAACCCTAATGTTCCAGAAGGTAGTTCCTCAAGGTCAGGGTCACTGGCACATAGTGGGTACACAGGGAGTATTATTGAAGGAAGCGATGCGCTGCAGCCAGGGACAACCAGGAACACACCTGAAATTGAATGTGTTGGGTTGACTTGTTGCAACGAGGGAGAATGCACTGCATGGGACCTAGGGCCATCTCAGTAAAAGGGTGCTTGAAAGGGGTCGTAGGATGTAGGTTTACGTTAGGTGATTCGAGGGATAACTTCAAGAAGTGGGACTTTGCTCTAGATTGGAAGCTGTCAGGAAGCAAAGGTCATTCTGTGATTGAGTATATTATAAATCCTATGTAGAAGGAGGAGAAACTAGAGAGGCTAGTGCCGTAATTGGTAAAGAAGCACAGTCATTTATATTAGCCAGATTAGAGAGATGTTTGGTCATTTTTGTGGTTGGACAGTGTTTGTGTTTAGATGTCAGACCTCAGTGGTCTCATTTCTGTCTTGATTCATCATGGTGATAGAGTGGCTTTGCCGGATATTGATGTTTTGGGAAGTTGTTAATGTTCAACGGGAGAATACCAGGGCCTAGCTGTGAGTGCCAGGCCAGTTTCTCCCAACACTGGGGCCTGACCGATGGGAGCAGGCTAGCTCCCACGTATCAGGAACTGCTTTCCTCTTTCTCACAAATAAGCTAGCCAACAAATATTTGGAAGCCATTTTATTTGATGTGGATAAGCATGTAATAAATGTGTCCTTTTCCAAAAGTTAGAGTGAAGCATATTTGGTTCTCAACTTTTTTCTAAAATACAGTTAAGATGGACTAAATTTTAGGTGTTAGCAAACTAAAAGAGTTAGAATTATATATATATATATATATATTTTAATGTATTTATTTTTGGCTGTGTTGGGTCTTTGTTGCTGCACATGGGCTTTCTCTAGTTGTGGCGAGCGGGGGCTACTGTTCGTTGAGGTGTGTGTGCTTCTCATTGCAGTGGCTTCTCTTGTTGCAGAGTGTGGGCTCTAGGCGCACGGGCTTCAGTAGTTGGGGTGTGCGGGCTTAGTTGCTTTGCAGCATGTGGGATCTTCCCGGACCAGGGCTCAAACCTGTGTCCTCTGCATCGGCAGGCGGATTCTTAACCACTGCGCCACCAGGGAAGCACTAGAATTATATATTTTTCAAACCTTTCTGGAGTCATGATTTTTTCTAAGTTAACTTTTAATAGGAAATGTCATACTACATGTTAATAATAGTTCAGAGATTCAAAAGAGTATACATATTGCTGGTAGGAGGGCAAAAAACGATTCCATCCCTAAAAAGGGCAACATGGTATTATATATAAAAAGCATAAGTGAATTGCTCCTGTGATAACACAGTCCCACTTCTGGGAATATGTCCTACAACTCTACCTGTACACGTGCAAAAATGACATACCAAGTTACTCATCATAGCATTGTTTATAAAAGCACAGTCTTGGAAACAACCCAAGTGTCCAGCTGGAGAGGATGGTTACATAAACTATGATAAATCCACACAGTAAAGTACTGTGTAGCTATAAAAGAAAGAATGAGGAAGCCATCTCTATACTGTTGTGGAAGGATATCCAGACTATATTGTTTAGTGAAAAAAGCTAGATAGAGGATAGTACTATCTTTTGTAGAAATGAAAGACAAAGAGAATCTATATTCATATTTATTTCTATCTACAAAAATAACACTACAAGAACACACAAGGAAATAATAAAGTGGTCAACTATAGAGGAAAAAGGTGGACCCAGAATGTGATGGACAGGGATATGAGTGAGATGGAAACTTCTCATTATTTGCCTTTTGAAATATAATTTTAATTCTCAACTTATAAAATGTACTACCTAGTCCAAAATTTTAAATAATTTATGGAAAGATATATATATATATATATATGTATATAAATGCAATATGTCTTCTACCTCATTCCATTCCCCAGAAATAACCATTTTGATCAGTTTCTTATATAGCTTTTCAGAGTAGTCCATTGTATTAGTCAAGGATCTCAAGAGAAACGGAACTGAGAGGATGTGTGTGTGTATAAAATATATGAAAACTGGTAATTCTATATTATGGAAGAAAAGGCATAATTAATATAAAAAGGAAAAAACAGCTTAGAAGTACATTTGATAGTGGTTAATGTTACATTATATAAAGGCTCCCACATATTGAAAAGAAAAACATTGACTCCACAATCACAAGGAGCCAGTTCATGAAAGCAGCCGGGGAGAAAACATTTTAAAAATGTTCAACCCACTACCACTCAAAGAAATGCAAAGTGAGTCGGGTAAAACTTAAAATATATATTAAATTCATTTAGAAAAAGAAGGATAAGCAGGATTGTTTTGAGACTTAGATGCAAACTGCAATGCTCATGTCACAGTAAACTAGTCAGCCTTTCAAGAGCAGTTTGGCAGGATGAATCACAAGCTATAAAATCATGCCCTTTGGCCTAGTAATCCCTTTTCTGGGAACTAATCTTGAGGAAATAATTCAAAAGGTGGCAAAAGGCATAGATCATGAGGATGTTCATCGTAACGTTGTTTGTATAATCAAAGAAATGGAAAAAACCTAAATATCCCAAAGGCATAGGAATTTGGGTAATTATGGTTTATTACTTTCATGAAATGTAGGCATTAAAAGTCAGTACAAGGGGCTTCCCTGGTGGCGCAGTGGTTAAGAATCCGCCTGCCAATGCAGGGGACACGGGTTTGAACCCTGGTCTGGGAAGATCCCACATGCCGTGGAGCAACTAAGCTTGTGCGCCACAACTACTGAGCCTGCACTCTAGAGCCCGTGAGCCACAACTACTGAGCCTGCGTGCCACAACTACTGAAGCCCATACTGCTGGAGCCCATGCTCTGCAACAAAGAGAGTGAGATGCCCACGCACCGCAACGAAGAGTACCCCATGCTGGGCGCAACTAGAGAAAGCCTGCGCGCAGCAACAAGGACACAACTCAGCCATACATAAATAAATAAATAAAATTTTTTAAATTCAGTACAAGGACTAGCAACATGGCAAATATGCATTATTTTATGTTACATATAACAATTATGTCTTAGCCCTGATAACAATGGAAAGAAAACTGTGTACATGTGCTCAAGAACAGATAGGACTATAGAAGCCTAAAGACAGTGTGACCGATGGGAATATTAGAATTATAGTGACATTTCTTTTTTGTTTTAATTAATATTTGTCTTAGTTTGTTCAGGTTGCTATAACAGAATACCATAGACTGGGTGGCTTATAAAGAAGAGGTTTATTCTTGACAGTTCTAGAGGCTGGGAAGTCCAGGATCAAGGTGCTGGCAGATTCAGTGTCTTGTGAGGGCTCACTGGTTCATAGACGGCTGTCTTTTCACTGTGTTCTCACATGGCACAGGGGGCTAGCCAGCTCGGTGGGGTCCCTTTTAATCCCAATCATGCCTCATAACCTAAGCACCTCTGAAAGGTCCTACATCCAAATACCATCACACTGGGGATTAGATTTCAACATGCAAATTTTAGGGGCACACATTCAATCTATAGCAATTGTGTTGTAATATTTTTACAATTATAACTTTTAAAAACTTAGCCATAAGTTAGCATTGTCCCAAACAGTAGCCTCAAATTGAAATTACCAGTTTGTAATTAGAAAAGACTCTAAGAATCATTTGATCCTATCTATCTTCCACTCCCCCACTGTGATGGTTGCAGGTGTAGAATCTAAGGTCAGAGGGCTTTTGACTGTTCTACATGGGCGGGGGGTGGGGGGATATTGTAGGTGCTGGGACCAAAAGCCCCACCCTCTGCTCAGGAACTAGCCACCTCTCTGTTGATTAAGTCTGGAGAGATGCTTCAGATGTTAAATATGTATAAGAGAACAGAGATATTGGAAGCAAACTGCATTCCGATATCAATAAAATTGTCTCTTTCTAATGTTAAAATAACAGCTAATACTATCCCTGATATTTTCTAGTTATTAAAGATATTTTATAAAATTATGATATAATAATGCTTCAATCTACATAAGACCCATTGGAATATTGCTTATCTTTGTTCCCATCTAAAGCTTCAGATTAATCTTTTTCCCATGAATACAGGTGTCCAATAAACGAAGACCCAATGAGGAAAAAACATTTGGTGTAAATATTTCATTGTGTTTTTTACGTTTATGTCCCATTTCTTGATCTTTGCCTCAGATTGAAAGACATTTTTTCAGTGTCTGTGGACTTTAGCTTCCATTTATTGACTTATTTTCGAAGTTTGGAATGCATTAGCAGAGATTATCTTCAACATGGGAGATTTCCCAATTAGCAAAATGGATTTGCCAAGCAGGAAAAAGATAGCTGTACATGCCCAAGTTCCTACTCGTGCCTGCCAGGAAAGTAGATTTGGTGTTAACCCCTGTGATGAACATGTTTTTCAGGGTGGATCACTTGTACACGTTCTTTGTTCAGTGGTCTCCTGATGTCTATGGGAAAGATGCCAAAGAGCAAGGCTTTGTGGTGGTGGAAAAAGAAGAACTGAATATGATTGACAACTTCTTCAGTGAGCCGACCACCAAGAGCTGGGAGGTGAGACTCAAGAGAGGGCTAGACTGTCCCTTAAAGTCCAGTCCACAGGGCTTCCCTGGTGGCGCAGTGGTTGAGAGTCCGCCTGCCGATGCAGGGGACAGGGGTTCGTGCCCCGGTCTGGGAAGATCCCACATGCCGC